TATTATTCCTGGCAGTGTCTCTATCTTATGGAGGATTAACTTGAGATATGATGGTAGAAAATTTTAAAAAAAACTTATGAGAGCAGTAAAATACCATTGGAGAACTCATATTCAATGGATGAAGTCTCAGTTTCCCACTCCTTCCATCTACGCATCTGCATGCAAGAGTTCAGTGAAAAACAGATGATATCATTCATATTAATGGTTAATCAATGTAGATTTTGAATAAAATTCAGAAAAGTACTTGATAGATTGCTAAGTTCCTACAACCTTTGCTCTTCCAAGAGTCATTGTGAGAGCACCACTTGCTACATGAAACACTGCCAGAAAGAATATGAAGATGTGCAACTGATGTAGTCCATTCATTGAAATAAGTGGCCCCTTGCCCTGTAAGTAGGATAATGTGGAAGTCAGAAAGAGCTCAAAATTGGCATTTTACACTGTAGGAAAAGGGTTATTTGAGTATCATCTCAAATGGATCTAGAAAGTAATATAAATGAATGACAAATCATCTGCAATAACCAAGTTGCTCAGTGACCAGCCAAATTGGCATTAGGAAACTTAAACGTCAACCTGCCAACTTATAATTATACCATTTCTACATTTGGGAACCACAGTTTTGTTCCCATTCGTGTTTATGATTTTTTAAAGAGATATCTGCTTGCCAAAAATAAACAGAATGAAGATTTTGTGAAAAAGAAAATCTAGAATTGGGTAGATAAGTTGCAAGTGTCCAGATGTAATTTCTTGGTCTCTTTAGTTATTGCTTTGTGTGAAACTATCCTATTTTACATCTATTCCATATCAACAAATTGGCACAGGATTTCCTAACTGCATGTTCACTTTGGATGATTTTTCAAAACATTTTGAGCAAATTTTCAAATTCATAAACACTAATAAATTTAGTATTAATATAATTGTCCATTTATAATGTAGACAATAAAATACCGCAATATGTCCATCATGAATGATAGGAACAAGAGTTGCCATAGCAAGAATGATAGGAACAAGGCTGAACCATTCGGCTATGATATTCATCCAGAATCAAGAGAATAAGTAGGTTCAGGCTGAACCATTCAGTTATAGTATTTATCCATGAATGAAGAGAATAAGTAGGTTCGGCTGAACCGTTCAGCTATGATATTCATCCAAGAATCGAGAGAATTATTGCAAAAGATAGAGAGAGCATTACTGACCTTTTTTAGAACTAAGCATGATGTGTTTATAACACGACATTCTATTTCCCATATTCAAAGAAACAAATAGAGGAACAACTAGAAGCAATTTAATTGCAGTTCCAAAGCTGTTAATAGATATACTTACTAAGGGACATGAAACAATTGATCCTGCAGCTAGTATCCTATGCTGTATATTCCCACGTATAAGCGCATTTGTTAACAGTTTCCTACGGTGTCCTCCACCTGCCTCTGCTGTCCCAGTATCTGTTTTGATTGGGCATGGCAACATGGTATTTGACAATGTCTCCGGTATGCAGATTTTAGCAATGTAACTCTGCCCAAAAGTCAGTAGTAGGGAAATGAAGCCAAGAATCATCAACTCTGCAAAACCAATAAAGTAAAATTATTGTCAGTCACTTCAGCTGAAAGTCGATACCAGTCCAACCATGCATGTGCCACAAGACAACAGAGATTACAACAATGGGCAAAGTTAAATGTAACAAGATTCAATGATCATTCAAACAAAGAAATGAACATTTTGGTTTTACCATCTTTAACCTTCTCAAGAGCTTCATAAAGAGCCTTTTTGTGCTTCTCATTAAGCCACTGAAAAACAAAGTTCACAATAGTACATAAGAATTTGATTTCTTCATGCGAGTAGACAAGAACAAACTTTGAGATGGAATGCAAAATCAGCACTTGATAGGCACAGAGAATGAACATCACTGGACTCAGGGAATGACCATGGAACAAATGCATATAAGAAAGAGAGAATGTGAAAAGAGGGACGGTTGCCAAGTTCAGCAAAAAGCATTTATCATATTGGAGGGAAAGTTTAAATACACAACTCAACTTAATTAATAGGCACTTATGAATCAGAATATCCAAGTAAAAAAAATTACGGCATTATAGAAAAATAGAAAAAAACTTAAGAATCAACAAGAGTGATGTATAAAGTCATAAATTGGTCGTCTTGTCGAATGCAAATATTTCTGACCACAGAAAAAAAAATATATATATTTTGGAACAATTTCATATGTGCTGATTCAAGTACTTGTAACTTCACATGAAACCATGCAGAATTGGAAATGATAATAGTACCTTTCTAAAGTTTACTAGGCTCATGAATACCTTCAAAAATATCAGATACCCTTCTAAAGTTAACAAACTTCCAAAATTTTAAAAAGCATGGGCTTATATGAAAATTTTGGCATATAAAAAGAACTTGAAAAATTCAACTTACATGGGCGTAAATAAAATTTTTACATATTCTGAAGGGTGCATATGAAATTGTCCCAAATCATTTTTATTTAAACAAGTACATATGTAATTGTCAATGAACCATCAGTCATACACCAAAATAATCATACACAACATGTCTGTCAATCGAGAGAAAAAAGGTCGAACATTTTGTAGTAACATTACACCATATATGTTTTCAAAGATCCTATTCAGAATAGAAGTAAAACAAGAAAATATCAAAGTAATCAAGAAGTGAAAAATAGACATAATAAGAATTAGAGTGCAGAATGTTTCTTCTGAACTGCCGCATATGGCTCTGAAAATAAAAAAAGAAGAAATGGAAAGGTTGTAAAGAAAGTGCAGTCGATAAAAGAAAATTTTGTCCTTGCAGCAAAATAAACAAAGATTACTAATATGCACTATAGTTTGATATTTTATTTAATATGTAAATAAAAAGTGAGGGAATATGTCAGGGATTAACATAAGAAATCTTCAAACGATATATCTAGCAAAAACCAAGTTAATGAGAAAAAAAATAATTATGTTAAGCCACAAGGTAAGATTTCATCTTTCAAACATTTCCATCTCCAAATGTCCAAAAAGAAAAGCAAATACAGAGCGTGTATGGCCTTATTTGGTTTTCTTTTTCGAAAATAAACTCGCCCTTAAAGAAGAATAAACGAGAACAGCTAAAAATTCTGCTAATGAATTTTCCTTCCAAACCCAACTTTCTGAGACAAGGAAACCGTGTCCGCAGCCTTCACACGATTACTAATCTCGCAGAGCTAAACGGAAACGCTAAAATAATCAAGAAAATATCACAAAGGAAGAAACAAAAGGAGCGGAATCCGTCTATTTTTGGATACGGCTTCAAGATACCACCTTTTGATCCGTAATCCACTCCAACACCTCAAAACAAGCCAAAAGAGCAACCAAGTTCGCTTCTTGCACATGAAATCATATCTCAAACCCAAAACAATTCAAACGAAAGGAAAAGAAAGAAAGAAGAAAAGAAAAGAAGCAAGATTTCTTTCCCGTTTACCTCTCCGAAGTGATGAAGACCCTTCTCCAGCAGTATGGAGATCAAAACGATGACCGCGCACACAGCCGCGACAGCCCACGTCGGGGTCTGGTCGAGCTCTCTCGAGTCGCCGCCACCTCCTCCTCCCGCCATCCCGAGACAAAGCCTTAAACCTCCCCCACCGCAAACTTCCTTTCCACTCCGCGGTCTAAATGGAGGCAGCAAAACCCAACTTCGCGGCTTTCGATCGCTTCCTCTACCAAAAGGCGAGCTTTCGGAAGGAGAACGTTCGAGGGAGGTTTTACGAGGACAGCGATCTGAGCTCCCTTTTCTGTTCCCTTCGGGGTTTGGGACGCGGCGTACGACAACCAAACCCCGTTTTCACCCACACGAATCTCGCATGGCCCCCACTCTTAGCGTCTAGCCCCCACTGGTGGGCCCGCGGCTGGTGAAGCCGAGTTGGGGGTTGCACAGGAAACAGCTCCCTTGAGCTGAGATGGCAAGCCAATCAAGCGCCCATTCGTCGGCAGCTGGTGGCGGGGTCAGGCCCAGGTGTCGTCGGTCAGGCAGGATACAGCTCTTTTTGCTGATGTGTCAAGCTCCCACTCGTCGATACATCCACGTTTCAGTGGTCCGTGGCCTCTTAAATACACAACAGAGCACCGTCCACGTCTCCCGCACGAATCTTAAAGTCATCAATAAGAACGGGAGTGGAATTAAATTGAAATTTCTATTGACTTCCTATTAGCAGTCAAAGATGTCATCCTCGCACGTATACGTATGCATGTCTTGTTTTGTTCATCGGATTCCAAAGACTGCGACGGGGACTCGACGTGCCTTCACGCCGCATCAAAATAGTTCTGTCGAGAGGTGGGGATTCAAGTTGACTCCCACCGAATCCCAACGATGAACACCCTCTCGATTAACTAATTGATTGGGTCAACATCTTCTTATTGATTGATCCCAGGAACAGAGGAAGAGGGTTGACCAAGTTCTCGATTGCGAGTCTCGTATTAATCCTTTGATGTTAGCCCATGGTGTGATGGTATTGAAGTGCCATTTTAGCACCTGCTCATGGATTTGTGGGTGTTGACTTTTAGTTTTTGCTGTTAACAAGTCCACGGCACCTCTGTGGCGTTGACTTTTCATTTTTATTCTTGTGGATGAGGTTGTGGGGTTCACTTTTCATTTTATTATAATTAATGACCCTAATATTTTAACTTTGGAGTTCATAGACAGACTGATCCACACATTAACTTGGTTATATTTAATCACTGATATGAAATAATAATAATAATAGATCAATCTAATGTTATAAAAACCTAGATCATGTGATGTGACTTCCTCCTAATAGAGTCCTCTCAGCTTTCTCTGCTGTAGATAGCTGCATCTGTGGAGGGGGGTGGAGGGATCATTGAAGGCAATCAACATATTCGGATCCTAAGCGATTATTGATCCATTGCTAAAGGCACTGATAGGACCCTTTAAACAAAAAAGACAAACAAAAGATCTCTATGTTCTTGTGGATGAACCATAAATCACAATGGCCAAGACACAGCTGGAGTGCCAATTTAAGGTGTTTATAAAACAACCCTGATTCAGAAATAACATGTGAGAGTTCCTGGTTCAGAGATTGTTTACACATGCAATACAGCTAAAATCACATTCTTTGTGATTCAACTTCAATCGAGAAAAAGCTAGATCAGTAATAAACTAGATCTGTTTAGAAACAGTCTACAGCTTGCTAGGAGAAAAAAAAAAAAGTAGGAAGTCGGTTCCATAACACATCTGCAAGAGTTAAAATTTACAAAGAGTTCTAGAGTTAGAAATAAGGCACTAAATGACGAAACAATTCTGCCGATCAATCTGAACTTCGTACTCAAATACTACTCCATCAGGGAAATCTAGATAACTGATCTTGCTGATAGTCTCTGGGGACAAAGATAGGCAACTGGCTCAGCCCCCTCCCTCTCTCAGTACCACCTTGCCTCTGATTAGATGTACCAGCATTTCTGAAGCTCCTCGGAGGGCCTTCGTTCAGCATAGGACCACCAAAGAATATAGATGGTTCGGTGTACAACAGCTCAGTACGACTGCCCCGAGAAGAAGGCCCAGCAATACTCTGAGAGGAGACAAATCGACCAGCTTCCTGATCCCAGTAAACGGAGGGTCCGGAGCTCCCTAGAGGATTTGTGCCGGTTCTCCTTGCTTGCCCATGCTCTGAGAGATGCCCAGCCATGCTTTCCTTGGCATCGCTAGACTGGACAGACCATGGAGATCGATTTGCTGATGACTGATATATTGGATTAAAGTGTCTAGTGTTTGAAGGTTGCTGCTCCAAGGCTGGAGTGAGGCTCAACGAGTTAGGGTGATGAGGGCTACTGAAACTGCTAGGAGTTCGAGGACATGTTTCAAGGTCCTCCCTACTAGCTCTGCTGGGAGGGTAAGAACTCTTCAGAGGCGAAGATCTTGCAGCAACCACACGATGATCCCGATGCCCGAAGTCAGCACTGACAGTGCTACTTCTGCTGCTGATATTCCCACTCGAGCAGCGATCAATGTCATACTGCATGTGTGAACCGATAGGTTTTAAGACAGACGAAGAGGCTCTGGCTTTAGCTGCAGCTCTCTTGGCCTCATTCTTGTCCAATTTTGCGAGCTTCCAGGCACTGATTGGGACTGGATGCTTGGGTAGCTTTTTCACTTGTCCAGATGGATCAATAGCATCAGGATCAATAGTTGAAGGAACACGTCCTGGTTCTAAATGAGGGATTATTTCATCCTTTTATTGGAAAACAAAGAGAATATCAACCACAGAATAGGGCTTAGAAAAAGCTGTGTTTAGCAATCACAGACAAGCATACCTGCTGGTCAACAAAAATTCTTGGAGGAGTACACCATGCACCTCTATACTGCAAGCCCAAAGAACTTCCACTTATGGCAGTTGGTGCTGAACTCATTGGCGAGGATGGAAGACTTTGCTGATCCTCATTAACAGAAGGACCAGGAGGTTCAGTCTGGGCTCTCATTGCCACCACATACTCGTACGTTGTGATGCCCTGGAAGAAATTTTATCTTATTTCACAATGATTGCAGAGTTGTTGCAAAAATAAGCATATGAGCAGAAGTATCAAACCTTTCGAATTAGTATCATGTGGAAAAAAAATAATTCACCCAATGGTACAGAAGCCAGCAACGATAGAGCAGTACACAAGGCCTGAAATAAAAATCTTATTATTAGTCTGCAAGAAGCACTCTTTCTCTGGTGCAGAAAAGTCCAAGTTACACTCGCTTTCTTTATGTTTATTCATAACTTATTCGCTAGATCAGTAAAAGTATTGGGTTTGCCACATTTTCACAGAGATCAACTAGAACCCAATGCTTCCAGAACTAATAAGACAGTGATCAGGTGCAAGCTAAAGAAACTTGGATAATCTGAAATTTTCAAGTATGATATGGACAAGATTCTGTATCAGATTTTGAAACTACAGCCTTATGTTTCGTTTGATTGGTCTTATTTGACACACACACTACCACTTGAGGTCATGGTAACAAGTTTGGTAATTCCAATAGCTGCACTAATTGCAGCTTGATGACCTAGAAAATTTAGCCTTGGGGCTTCCTTGATAACCATTGTTTGTTCCTCCAAATACAGACATAAAACTGTTAGCATAATCTAGAAACAAGAATAAAACATATTGATGGATTTAAAATTCATAAATTGCAAGTGTCAAAAATACTGGTAGAGGGTTCTAATTATGAACAGTCATAAATTACTGCAAACCATCTTGCCCAATGAGTAACTCATGAAAAAGACATCTATCTGGATTAACCAATGCTACTCCACATATACTAGATTCAAAAAATGAGAAAGAATAGTGTATAAAATTGATGCATACCACAATTGTGACAAAGGGAGCATGGGAGAAGCCATCTCCTAGCCTTTCAACTATCTGAGATTCAATTTGCTTCTTATCAGTGAAGGATCGGACAAGAACGGCGATACCAATTCCACTTTCAACAGCAAGCTTATGTAGAAGATAGGGCCAAATGATTTGCATCAGGGAAAGCCAAATATTTTAGGTGAATAATTATTTTATAAGTACAAACTTCATGAACTGGAAAAGAAGCATTTTTTCTGAAATGCATCTACTTACCCAGGCAAGGCTCATTGACATAAGGGACAAAAATGTAATATAGTTTTTCCTCCCAACACAATTGTTTAACCACTGCACAGAAAGGATAATAAAGTCCAAGCACCTAGATTAATATATGCAGATTGTTATAGATATGTAGGCAAGCAACATGGACTTAGTTTACAAACCCGGCAATGATGATCAAACCCATCTACACATTTGTCACAACTCCTGCAGTGTTTGCTGAATTTGCGAACCTAGACAAAGCAGTTGCAAGAACAAATTTCATCAACTTATCAAATGGTTTTGTTTTAATTGTTCAAGTGTCCTAAGAATAATTGAAGTATCTGTCAGTCTATACATAACAACCAAAAACAAAAAAAAGTTAAATACGTACACTTCCATAGGCTAAAAGGTGAAGTTTAACAAGATCAAGAAAAAGAATTACATATTTATGTAGAAAATATCTTTCATTTGACTATTAACTGCAAGAGCAAAATATTACACTATTTATCAGTTGCAACCAATATGAAACTCCTAGCAACGTGGAACCAATACTCCATGCTAGAACAGTTGCCTCCTTGAAGCCATCCCAATTTAAATTTAAAAAAAAAAGATTATAGAATCCCACATGCACTTTTATGTCATATAATGCTAGATTACATTAGACCTCCTTGCTCTGATTGTCTTCTTACTAACAAAGAGTAGCAAATAAATGGTTATTCTCAGCATTTACATTCTCCATCAGAGTAGAAGGTGAAGAGACACAGAACAACCGAGAGACAAATAACAGCCTTGCTTATGGCAATTGGAAAGAGCTAGAGTAATAAAAAGGAAAGAAAGATGAGGGTGGTCACTAAAAAGTAGAGCATAAGACAAAATTAGTCCCAAATTTTAAGCAGATAGCTAAAATGATGAATTACAAGAATGTAAAGAAAATCAGTTTAAGAAATGAGAATTTTTTGCCTTTTTGATCCATCCATTATATCATGGACTGCTAGACCACCCAAATTTCGGTATGAAACAGGCGGTATGTATTGGTTTGGGCATGGGCCGATACGCGGACCACCCCCGTTTTGGGCAACCCAGTCCAGTTGAAAAAAAATGATAAAACAATAAAAAATTAGGGCTCATAGTCATGAGCCCTCTTCTCGCGTTCAACGTCACAGCCGCCACCGCTGCTGCTTCCCAGGTACGCTACCGCTGCTTCTCCACTTCCTCCTCTTTTTTCCTTCTTCTTCCTCCACCTTTTTCTCTTCTTCCTTCTTCCTTCCTCCTCTGCTCCACCGTCCCTTCCTCTTTTTCCTCCTTTTCTTACTCACCAAAACACCGGTACACACCGGTGTACCATGTATCGGTATACTGGTACTGACCAATATATACCAATCTGACAGGTCTCTGAAACGGGTCTACCCGAAACAGCAATCCTTCCATCATATGTTCACATTTTAAAAAAGGAAATCAGACTGGAAATATGATTCATGCATATTCAGGAAAGCAATGTGGAATTGGAGCATAAAACAGTTGAATGACTTCTGTTTATTCATGTATTCACAATCTTAAGGCAGATATCTTTTTTATTGAATTTTAGATCGATCAAACACATTTTTGGTCGACTTTTGTTGGATTCCAAAGAATTATTTCTTTCCTGGAGGACATCTGGTGAGTGGAAAACAAATTACTGGTTCTCATTATATGGCATACAGAACGAATTCAGTGGATCATTAAGATTTTTTTCACTAAGAAGAAAGGTGAATTAAGATTCTCAAGGTTGCTTAAGGACATTTAAGAGGTCACTTCAAAGAAAGACAATATCAATACTATAAACATGGATTAACTTAATGATGGCAAGTTATCGCATGCCACCATTCCAACACAGGTATGCTCATGGGATAAAGAAAACGTAGTAAGCAATGCTGGTCCTCACCGTGGTCATTGTCTTTGTCAATAGTCGACAGAGCCACTAGGTCTTGGTTCCCTTGCTCCTACCCTTTGCACTAAGAGGACAGGATGAGAAGGGATGCAAAAGGCTGGTTTGAAAAACAGCCCCACGCAGGATCCTTGCTGGAGCAGACCCCAAAACAAAATGATTTGCAATTTAAGGATTTAGAAGTAGTTTGACTAAATAGCCTCTCAATTGTGAAAAATAAAAAAGATCTAATGGTGACACTTTTGCAACTTTTCATAGTTGTGAATTGTACAGTTGGTCCAGAACATCTGTCTATGATAAATACTAAATGATATCAGTCAATCTCGGAATGAGCATTTCTCACTAGAAAACGTTAGTAGAGCAACGTTTGCTTGAGACAAACAAGAGCCAATCACCAAGAAATACCTACGATCAAGATTTTGTTACAAGATTGGAATGTAAAACAATATAAATATCCTTGTTGGAGATGCATCAAAGTTTTCTCATCTATTTAAGTCTAAGGGAACTTAGAAGGTTCAAGAAGAATGAAATGCCTAATGGAAATAAACTTATGTACTGGACGTTCTAGTTCATATTTAATAGAAAGTCAGCATTGAGGGGAAGAAAAGAAGCATCTAATAAATATATATAAGGTTTGTGATGTTGGAAATGATCATACAAGTGTGAACTATTTCAAGACTCGGATAGGACAAAGGTCAACAATTTCTAAAGTGAAAGATAATGGCAGACAATCACCATAGCATAGCATCTAAAAAAACTTGATAAGCATGAAGCTTTTACCTCCGCATTGCATAGTGTGCAAAATAATGCTTCATCAATGCTCGTCTGCTGCTCAGCATTGTCCTCATCTTTGCGACAATCTTCTTTAGACAAAAGAGCACAGAAGAAACAACCGATGGAGAAGCTTGCTGTTTTGTGCTTGACAGTTTCTTCTTCAGTGTTAACTCCTAACTTGGTAGGTTCTTCCAAGGAACCTCTATCCCCTATGTCGAAACAAGGAACTCTCAGTTACCATGAATGGCTTGTCAATAGTGCTTGATACATCTCTTTACCAACTAAGGACTAGATAGTTGGATCTTACGTTGTGGCATATAAGTTGATGCTTCATTATAAGCAAGCAAAATTCCAGGATCAGCAGGATCAATGGCAGTGCATCTAACATAAAGTATAAACACACATAGCGCCTGAAGCAACATGATCCATGAATAATATGGTCATAAAAATAACAAGAAATACTTCATTCAATATGCTTGAGAATAACATCTAGCTAGCTAGCAAGGGAGCATACTTACAAGAAAACTATATACTCCAATTGCCACATATTCATATAAGTCTTTTCCAAGAAACGGGGCAAAAAAGGCATAAAATGCTATCGATAGCAAGAAGAATACTGTGATTGCAATAACCTGCGAACCAAAAGAACTTCCATCAAATGATGTTGTCAAATAGAAGAACTAGATATACACTTTATTAAAATAAACAGCAGGCCTTTTTGCAGTAAATTTAAATCAACTTTGTCCTTCCAGCCAAAGCCCTTCATGAGCCACAAAAAAAAACCAGTATCTACTCTCATTGTTCTTTCTTTTTACCCTTCTACTTAAGGATTAAACAAGAATTTCTTGGTCCTATGTACAAAAATTAAATATTTTCTTTTCTATATTTGAATTGGGATTAAACAAATATCAAACGAAGGCCACAGGAGATGTTTGCTTTGACAATCGATTAATCCTAGCAATAACTACCAATACACAAGCAGAAACAACTTCTCTGCTTCCAAGGGTAAGGCCATGCACATTCGATCCTCCCTCCCTCAGATCCCACATTGACGGAGGACTTTATTTACTGGGATGCCCTTTTATAACTATCAGAACAATTGCAACTAGTAACTCATGCAACAGCGATCTACGAATAATTACCAAGAAACAAGTGGTTGAGTTCCAAAATGCTTATATACTCCCAAAATCCACAAGGCATAACTATCCAAGTAAAATCATGAACTGAAAATCTAGTTTGCAATTTGGTATAGCAGAATCAGCAGGTTTAAAGGTGCTGTCTTGTCGCACCAACTACCGAGAAAATAAGAATATGCAACACACACATCAATGACCGACTCCTGTGGATTTAAACTGCCCACATTGCAAGAACTGCCAACAGCACCCCTGCAAAGCCCCACAAATCCAACGCAGAAGAATAAAGCTATAAAATCTCACAGCAATTTCGCAGGAAACCAACATGACAACCGCCAAAAATTAAGATTTGGACCAAGAGACGATAAAAGGCTCCGCTTTCCACCTGAAAAGTGTGGGCTGGGAGCTGCCACCCGTGCCGTCTCGCCATGGCTTCGGACGCAACAGCATCACCCCCCCGAGACCTCGAAGCGGAAGCGGAAACCAAAGCCGATCCACTCGCTCGGAAATCTCCGCGTGCTACCGCTGGTTCTTGGCCCCGGCGACAAACGGCGCGATCCAAGTGGGTTCCGCCTCTCTTGCGGCCTCCGACATGCGGCGCTAAGCCCTCGTCGAGATGGGGCGTCGCTCCTCCCGCGGGTTCTGGGGACGGCTCTCGAACGTGCCCGTCGTGGCGGCGGAGGCCGCGGAAATGGAAACAGAGCCGAAGGGTTTTATCACTCTTTTACTGCTCCTTCTGCACTTATTACCCACTGTGTAATTTTTTGAAAACAGCCCTTAAGAGCTTATATTTATAATTTTAGTACTGTCCTTCACAAGACTATTTCTATTCAAACCCCTAATTAGCTTGTATTTTCACATATACCTTAAAGAAATGCAACACAAACACTGAACTTAAATTAAATTCAAAATTAATTTAAAAATAGTTTGATTAAAATATCTTGAGCAATAAAAATACTCTATAGATGACACAAATGTAAATATACTATTTTTTTAATTATCAAATATGATGTATTTCAAAGCATAGAAGAAGATAAGGCAACACACACAAATATGACTACATACTATTCTGGCCTAGAATTCAGGCTATATACTTGAAAAGGCTAAGAATGGTTAGACTATTTCCTCACATTATGTCACACAAGATGACTTGGTAGTCTTATCATGTAAATACCATATGGGCAACACACTATATATATTTACAACCCCAAATCACAATCAATTTCCATAGCAAAATTGTTTTCCTACAATGGGTGATGATGATTGTGGAACTTCTATGTTGGTGGCACATGATCTTAATTAATCAGTAATTTCTGGATTATGAGAGTTAAGAGAGTGTCCAAAGATGGATTTGGGGAGGATGTGCATGGAAGAACATGCTTGTTTAATGTCTTGTGAGTTTTCAATTGCAAGAGGGGACTCATCTTTTGTAGGTTGCCCTTTTTTGCTTTGTCAAGTGTTAGCTCTGTGAGGTGGAAAAGTGGAATCTTGGATTAAAGAATTGGGATAAATAAGTAGGCCAATAATACATATTCCAAGGAGGGAAGTGTCTTAAATAAATATTTCTCATGGCCTGATTGCTGCAAGTTGACAGGTGGGGGATGTCTGAGGCCATCACTAGTTTAATGAACTTTCATTAATTATACAGAGATGAAGACAAAAAGAAACTGTGAGTTTGATCCAATGTTTGACTGATGGCTTGGGAAATGGGTTGCAGACCTATTCCTTTTGATTCCTGGATCATTTTTATTTAGGCAGCTATTCTTAGTTGTAACATGCTAGTACCATGACAAAAACTCTAATCATCCTCATATTTGACTATGATGTGATAAAATTGGTCTAATTTAATTAGTCTTTCAAAGTGTTTTACTCTTTCAAAGAAAAGAAGATTGATGGGCTCCAAAAAAAATTGTTCTTGATGTGTAGATATGATGTCATTACTGTCAATATATCAACTTGTGTCACTAAGGCATATAATGGAAGAGTGATGTAGCTGCACAAGAGCTCTCATAAAAGCATGATCTCAGGTTGAATGCATACTGCAAACATGATTCAGGCTGTTTCAGTAAAATGCCAATCAAATGCTTCAAAAAGTTCATCATGATGGTACTGATAATAAAAGGAAAACTATTAGCCATGTCCACAGAAAATGAGCCATCTGGAATGCATTCTGTAATCACAAGTCTGAAGGTCAAATAGAAGTTAGAAGAAATCTTTTGATGAACACAATCTGTTGAATGCCATCATTGCAGGTTTATATGGAAGCATTGACAACTGAGATCATTGCATTTATCTCAAACAAAGTCAAATGTATCAGGAAAACAATCCACTGAATCCTGTTGAACCAGAAGTTCTTTGTTGCTTGGTAGTTCTGTTCTGGATCTCTTGAGCCATCTCCATGATGACAAGTTCTAGTTTCAAGCTAAATACCTGCAAAACCATTGCATCATATGATGCTGACTTGCTCCCCAACAAAAAATAGAAAGGGAAAGAGCTCATGGACTGTAATCTCACCATGAGTGGGACAAAAGAAACTGATGCAATGCAAGGGTACATATAATATCCTGGATCAAAGCCAAGAAGAATTGGTAATATACATACAATTAAAAGTAATTGCCATTGATGTCAAGAAGTAGACTGATGATGGCAATGAACCACAATGGACTGACTGACAAATGGACATGTTAAGAGAGAAATTTCTTACCAAAGAAATAATACAGAGAGATTTTAGTGTCAGATAGGGAAACCTGATGCACACAACCACTTTGAAGTCATCCTCCAAGGATCATTTTATGTACTTGTGGAAATCAAAGTTACTGTATGGAGACAAATGTGCCTATATATCTTTATAGCATTCAATACATTGTTATAGTAGTTCAACAAATCCAACATAAATCAGTGTTATAATGTTCAGCAATGAGAAGCTACAGAGGAAGAGAGCCAAAAGAGAAACTTGGAATATTAAGATATTATTTTGATAAAGCCATGGCTTATGGTCAACTAGTCCACTTTTGTCACTGATCCAAAGAACTGCCTAATATCTTCTCCAAATTATATCATATTAATATCTCACTATCCATCTGATGCCAATGGTTCTTGGAAGTCCCACATGCCGCTTCACAACAGATGTCTGGTGAGTGAATCTGAACCTTAAAGGATCTGCAGAACAAGAACTCCTCTGTGATTGCAAGAACATGTTCTCTTTGAGGTTTAGATTTCCTAGCAACTTGAGATCAAGACCTACCATTACAGAACTGGGCTTTCCATTTCTTCATCTGTCAGTTACATCAGAATTGATGGATCTTAGTAAATAATATGTGAAGTTAAAAACTATCAATCATTATATTCCAATTTCTCAGAGAATAAACATCGACATTTTCGATGCTTAGATTACTTTTGCTAGCGCGAGAGCCATGGTGAGAACACTGTAAAGAACATGAAACACTGCGCACACGAACGCCACCGGCTTTCCCTGCAGCTTACCTTCTTAATCTACTCCGAGTGGTGGGCTCTCCTGCAGCTGCAGTCATGGCTTAGTTTATAAGAAGAAGAGAGATTTAACGCGTAATTTGATGACTCGTTGGGGAATCGCCAACCACCGATTTGATTTACATGGACTTTCTCTTCTGAGATATTAGAAGAGTTCGCCGGCCATGAGCTCCGAAAGGAGTGCGAAGCCGAAGCTGACGAGAGCTGCATGAACGGCGTCAAGGTTTCAGCCCATATTGCATGGGCCATGCAGGGAGTAGACGAATAACGTGTCCTTCATGCGTGCATCACTGATCATCAAAATCTTAACTCTGCATCAATTAGATGTCCCTCTCTGCTTGTCTTCGACGACTGTTAGATTATTGACTGGGTTTTCAGATGTCAAAACATGATCGATTGGCCTCGCATTGGATTGATTCATTAATGGTTCAACCGCGTGATGAGAGAGAAAGTCTGGGCCTGGAGGAGAAGATCCAGTAGAGGAATGTGGTGGATTTAGCTGCCCTCGGTTCTGGGTTTGTGGTGTTAGCGATCCAGCGGAAATGAGTGGCTCCCAGTTTGAGAAGTGATATCAGACACAATTTCCTTATCCCCAAAAGATTGCCTTCTGCAGCCACAAATACACACCCACCCTGAGACCTTCTTCATGCACCTCAGTCCATCACCACACAGGAAATGAGTGATGCCAGTGACTGATGATATTTGAGACACTTGACATATAAATCTCCCATTAGGAATCCTTCTGCTTCTCAGTTGCAGTAATGGCCAGCCATGCAGCTCTTGCCTCCTCAAGAATCCCATCCAACACCAGGTTCCACTGCAAGGCCAACACCTCCTTCAGCAAGGTCTCTCTCTCTCTCTCTATCTCTCTACTGCAGCTGGAAACAGTATTAGTACTACTAGTATTAACTTAGAATCACATGGTGTTCGTTTCTGAAGACTGGTATGGTAGCAAACTTTTGTTGAATGATTCAAATTTCATACATGTAGAGGCTAGAGGTTGCTGAATTCTCAGGGCTGAGATCGAGCACATCCCTCACCTTTGCCACCCATGGAAGAGAGGCATCCTTCTCCGATGTATTGGCCTCCCAGTTGTCTACCAAGGCAAGTTCTATGACAGCAGCAAACTTCCAAGTCTATATTTCAGGAAGCATGTTGCTCTGCTTCATCTGTACTAGTGATTTTATAATGATTACCAAGATGTTATTAATCTGGTCAAATTCGATCTTGTGATCGATTATTTCCTGCAATTGTCATGGTTTTTTGCTTTGCAAATCGTGAGCTGGTGTTCTGTTTGTAGAATCATGATTCTGTGTCAGTTGATGGTTTTGTTCTTGGTTCTGTTCATAGCTTCAGACTGCGAGGGCTGTTCCTGTTAGGGGGGAGACCGTCGCGAAGCTGAAGGTTGCGATCAATGGCTTTGGGAGGATTGGCCGGAACTTCCTCCGCTGCTGGCACGGCCGGAAGGACTCCCCACTCGAAGTGCTGGTCGTAAATGACAGTGGCGGTGTCAAGAATGTACGATACGTCTCTCCTCTTCTGCTCCTGCACTTCATGCTTGTGTTATTACTGCCGTTCCAAGTTTCTGACAAGGCCTTCTCCCATAGGCTTCTCACCTTCTCAAATACGACTCCATGCTTGGCACCTTCAAAGCTGACGTGAAGATTGTGGACAACGAGACGATAAGTGTTGATGGCAAGCCCATCAAGGTCGTCTCCAATCGTGACCCTCTGAAGCTGCCATGGGCCGAGCTAGGAATCGACATTGTCATCGAGGTACTGTTACAGAGTTTGATTGAAAGGATTCACTTGTCCGAGCTTACGAACCTCATGCAAGGTTCACCGAAAACAGGGGACAGGAGTCTTCGTTGATGGCCCAGGAGCTGGAAAACACATACAAGCCGGCGCGAAGAAGGTTATCATCACGGCACCGGCGAAAGGAGCCGATATCCCAACCTACGTTGTCGGCGTGAACGAAGGCGACTACCATCACGAGGCGTCAAACATAGTCAGGTTGGGTGGCAAAGATGATCTTTAATTTCCTTTCCTTGTAGTTCCATTAATATCATGATATTTACTGGTTCGATTCCTACTTGCAGCAATGCATCTTGCACGACGAATTGCCTCGCTCCTTTTGTGAAGGTCATGGATGAAGAATTTGGTATGAATTGCTTGTATCTGCACTGCAATCTACCGAAAAGCAAAGATTGCCCTGCATTTTACTGAGCTCGTCCATTGCCTTTTCTAATCCTTGCAGGCATTGTGAAGGGAACCATGACAACAACTCACTCTTACACAGGGGATCAGGTTCTCCTTTGGATACAGTCTCCGTTGTTCATCTCCTTCTCCCGGTATCTTTATGTTCATGTGTGCGACTGCAGAGGTTGCTGGATGCATCACACCGGGACCTGAGACGTGCGAGGGCTGCAGCACTTAACATCGTCCCGACGAGCACCGGAGCAGCGAAAGCGGTGTCGCTGGTGCTGCCCCAACTCAAGGGCAAACTGAACGGGATCGCCCTCCGGGTGCCGACGCCGAACGTGTCGGTGGTGGACCTGGTGGTGAACGTGGCGAAGAAAGGGATGACGGCTGAGGACGTGAACAACGCCTTCAGGAAGGCGGCCCAGGGGCCATTGAAGGGCATCCTTGCGGTGTGTGACGTGCCTCTGGTGTCCGTCGACTTCCGCTGCAGCGACGTGTCTTCCACCATCGATTCATCGCTGACCATGGTGATGGGCGACGACATGGTCAAGGTGGTTGCTTGGTACGACAATGAATGGGGTTACAGGTGAGATTTGCTTCTCCGAGCCTTCAAGACAGGGAAGAACAGATCACATTGGAAAACACTGACACTGTTTGATTTCTTTGGATAGCCAAAGGGTGGTGGATTTGGCACATCTGGTGGCAAGCAAGTGGCCCGGCGTGCCTGCGCAGGGGAGTGGAGATCCCCTGGAAGACTTCTGCCAGACAAACCCAGAGACCAAGGAATGCAAAGTATACGAAGCATAAACTGATTGCTTGATGTGTATCGAATCATTTCTGATGGATGTAAAACTCGCGGACATGCGTATGACATTTTTGTGATCGGCAGATCAAAGTGTTTCTTCTACAACAATGATGCTCGAAGAGAATGATTGCCTTGTGGATTTAGTATTCACATATAGACCGTATAATTTTGCTTCTTCCACTGTATGAGACGAGTATATGGAACATATAACAGGCAACTGAAACAACCAACGTAGCTTAACGACCTTTGAGCGATCTCCACTGCAACGAACCGCAACCGACTCATCTCCTTCAGTTTCAAGAACTGTGAAACCCGCCTCTTTACATACTCTCTCTCTCTCGCTTCTCTCAGCCGTCGCGATGTGGCTTTCTAGGGTCTGGTCATGGTTAATGGGTCCGACGGAAGACGAGCAGATGCCCGATTTGGAAGCGGGCAACCCAACGAGTCCACTGGAAGACGAACAGATGCCGGATTTAGAATCTGCCCACGGCCCCTACGCGTCCTCTTCCTCCTCGTCTGGTCTCGGCTTCCCCGACGAGATGAGCATGGAGGACCAGTTGGACGGCCAGATCCAGTCTTGCGTAGCAGAATGCCGCGGCCTCCGAGAACGGATCGTCCCCATCCTAGAGACCCTGCGGCGTGTCAGAAAGGGTCCGTCTTGGCAACAGGTCCGTGTTCTTCCTCCCCTCCCGTGTCGCCCGAGCTCTTCTCCTGCCTTGCTTGCTTTCCTATCTGCTTCTCGTGTTCCGACAGGAAATCAAGGACTGCGCCGGCCGTAAAGCCCAGATGGAACAAGATCGCGAGAGGCTGTCGAAAGAGTATCGAGATTGCGAATCGATGGTACAAGATCTTTCTTGTGCAACTACGATATGTTTGCTGGTTTCTCTGAAGCTGATCTCTGGGTTTCGTCTCTAATGTAGTTGTACTGTTTGCCTTTTTTTTTTCCCTCTGCTTCTCTTTCTTGCTTCTTTCTTCTATAAAGATCTCTGTTTCCATAATACTGTGGTCGAACCATATCATGACCCTTCCAGTATCAATGTCTTCATCATGCTTCTGCTAGTATGGTTAGACAATGTTATGACTTCATATTTCTGAGCCTATGTAGATCAAGGGAGAGATTTAAGGAAATAATTATTTGATGTGGAAAAGAGATCCATGAGCAATGGAGTTTGCAATCTGTTGGTCAATAATCTTGGAACACCCTGTACTTGCTTGTCATTTTGCCTTCTAAATGCTAGTTTCTCATGATCTGCATGCTTATCTGAAACTTGCTGCATCACCAGCTGAAGACATTGTTTACCATGGTTGGATCTAGGAAAAAGGGGAAGGCAAGCAGCTCATCACCTCCAAGCAGAAATGAAGGTATGAGAAAAAGATGGACCTTCCTTTCCCCCTCTCATCTGAACAATCATAAGCAGAGACTGACGCCATAAGATGTGTCAAAAGACAGCAACTTTTATCTGTGCTTCATTTGAATTAGAAATTTTATTTAGATCCCTAATCCATAATTATAAAAAAATAATCAAAATTCTGGATTATTAACAGTAACTTCCATACCTACATTAAAGAAGACATATCTTGTGCCTTGTACAATCCAACCTCCCTCTGGTGCCACTGCAAAGAGGGTTGGTTACTTCTTCAAAGCTTCTCTTCCCCATATTAACATTGTGTCTACATTATGTACAGGCCAGAAGAAGAAGAAGAACAAGAAGAAGAAGCGATATCAGATTAGCCAAGGAAATTACTGATGATTTTGAAATCAGTATCTCATAAGTGTCTTTGGCATTCACGACATTGTTGCATCACTATGTACTGGTACCTGATTTGGAGCTTTTCCAAATAACTCTTGGTGAAGGTAGTGAGAATTGGGTAGACAAATTGTGCTCCCAAGTCAACCGTGCAGATTCTTGATTACATTTTCCTATAGAAAAATTTCGGGCTTTAATAATGATCATCATGGAGTCATGATGGATACATTTCTTGGCATCAACTTCAACTTTGCCAGATTAGTGTTGTTGCTTCAACTCAAATATTCTAGTAATACAATGCAAGCACTTTTATATAGCCTAAACTATCTGCAATATTGTGAGTGGAAAAGGTAAGCTTTTTGATTCTTGAACATGAAAGCCATGGAAGAAGCAATTCCAGAGCAAGTTGTCATAAGCTTTAATGGAGCAGGAAGAACACAGAGTGTTCCTCGCAACCAAGCAGAACTAGAAGCCAAAATCCAAATTGCTGAAATCCCATAGATTTACTGTGTGACATGGCAATCCACTACCGGATCCAACTACTCCATCGGGACAATCTCAGCCGTCCAAGGCTGCGGATCGTACGGCTGGGGAGCGACATCCCTCGGAACCGTGATCCCGACAGGTGTCCGCCGCCGTTCATCCCACCCGATGATTCCGATGTTGGTGGCGCGACCGGGTGACCTCCGATCGCCGGTCGCCATGTCTTCCAACTATAAGAGGGCCCTCACCCTACCGCTCCTCCAAAGCTATGGTGTTTTCGTTCTCTCATTTCACTTGTTATTTTGAGCAATTTCTGCTCCTCTTCTCAGAAAAATGAAGGTCTTCACGGGAGGGAAGGAGAAGGGAAGTGCTGCCGTTCGATGAACTTGGTGGTAATGGTTTTTTTGTTTTGAATCTTTTGGTGCTCCGGGGTGTTTTTTTCTTCATTCTGAGGGTTTGATCTGTTCTAGCTGTTGTTACGCTTTAGATCGCTTGGTTCTTCAGCTTTTTGCGCTAAAGGTGGGATTTTGGTGAATTTTCCTGATCTCTTGTTAAGGGCATGTGGATGGCCTTTGGGGCAGCAGTTTGCACTTGAAATCATTTGATCGTTTGGCGATAAAGATCAGGTTTTTTGTTTCTGGATGATGCAATATTTGTTGTTTGTGGGGATAGTTTTGGGATGTTGGAGGATCTATTGGCGTTTTTAGTTCTATATATAGATGTTGTAGAAATCTGGATTCAATACCCACAAGGAGCATGACTTATTCTCCTGGCTTGGATAGCTCTAGGGGCCAAAAAGAAGTTCACTTTTTGGAATCTTGGGTGTCTCAACTTTTTGGAAGTTTTGATTGGATCCATTGGGATACCTGAAAAATCAGAAGAACGGCGATATTGTGATATAGGTGGGTTCGAAGCAATTATTGTGCTCGCAAAGGGTTGTCAACATGGTTTGCTTAGGATTATGGCAGCTGCTACGGGATTATCCTCCACATTGGCCATGTTAGACGGTAGGAATCGGGACGTGGATAATGGATCTTCACTCAGTTCTGGCAGTGAAGATCCCAGGACTCCAGAAAACAGGAAAGAAAGTAAAGTTGGGAAACCTCCTCGACATCTGTCGGTTATTCGACGTTCTGTGAACACGGGTTGCCTGGTTTGTTCATTTGCCTTCTGTTTTTCTCTTGATGATGATATATATTCCAATCTGCTGATTATGTTTTTGAAAGCTCTCTAGGAATTCGATTTTGCGAGTCTAGCACTTTTATCTCCACCGGAAGAACAGATTGGGTTTCTGCCTGTGTTTCGCTCGGGAAGCTGCTCTGAAATGGGGCCGAAGACATATATGGAGGATGAACATGTGTGCATAGATAATCTAATTGAGTATCTTGGAGCTTCTGTCAAATTTTCATCACCGGGTGCCTTCTATGGGGTGTGCCTCCCTTTATGTGGAATTCGTTTTTTTTTTGTATCCAACATAAATAGTTCTTTAATAAACTTGATGTGTTGTTTGTGTTAGTTATCTTGTTCATTTTTTAATGTCAAGGTTTTAAGATGTTTCTAAACATGTTGTGTGATATAGCTTTTATTGTTCATAGATTAGGCAATGGACGTCCCAATATGTTTCTCAATCCTGAAATCATGTTTGTCTCAGTTATCTCATAGATACACTGATGTTAATGAATTCTAAATAATTGGTGTTTTAAATAGCCTTTATCGTTAGGTGGGACAATAAATCCCCAATGTCTCTTTGAACATAAAGTTTGTCGTATCAATGTTTGGACCTTGTCATAGCAAACAACCGTTGAGAAGTTGCTGAAATGAAGCAGTTCATATGGCAGGTGTTTGATGGCCATGGTGGCACAGATGCAGCATCTTTTGTTCAGAAGAATATTCTCAAATTCATACTTGAAGATAGTCATTTTCCAGCTTCTGTTGACAAGGCCATAAAGAGTGCATTCATAAAAACTGATCATGCGTTTGCTGATTCCCATTCACTTGATCGCACTTCTGGAACCACAGCACTTACAGCCCTTGTTTTTGGAAGGTAAATTTGCTGTTAACATCTGTGAACTTTTTGTTTTAGTCTCTGATATACATAGAATTGTATAAAGAGTTAAATTTATGAATGGTCTTAATGTTTTATGAAGCTTCTACTGTTCACTAAAAAAAAGGAAAAAAGTTCATGTTGGTCTTGGATGGCATTTATTTTTTAGCAGCTCATCATCAGATTGTTTGCATACATGCTTTTGAAGCAACCTTCGTTCTTTCTTTTGCATCACTACATTGTTTTGCTGAAGATGAGTGTGATGGGTTGGATTTCTTGTTTGATGAAAGCTAAGAAATCATCTAGAACAAGCCTTTAGACTAGAAACATGGAAGTTAATGTGATTGTTGTAGTTTCTGTGTTTTACCATGGTCTAATTAGGGTCAAAGAATTGACAGGTGAGAATTCATAATGTGAAGGCAGAGCATGCATGTGCCTTGTGGTTTAGACTTCGCATTTACTCATTGACATTCACTAATATTGCTTAATGTTCTTAGTACTTGGGTCTTAACTATAGAATTTGTACCTTGTAGGTCTCTGCTAATTGCAAATGCTGGTGATTGCCGAGCTGTGTTAGGGAAGCGTGGACGAGCAATAGAACTTTCCAGAGACCATAAACCTAGCTGCAATAACGAAAGGCTAAGAATCGAGAAGCTAGGCGGCAAAATCTATGATGGATATCTGAATGGCCAGCTCTCTGTTGCAAGGGCACTCGGCAACTGGCACATGAAAGGCACAAAAGGTTCTGCCTGCCCCTTGAGCGCTGAACCCGAGCTGCAGGTGACCGTCCTCACAGAGGAAGATGAATTTCTGATAATGGGGTGTGATGGCTTATGGGATGTCATGAGCAGTCAGTGTGCTGTGACGATAGCTAGGAAGGAGCTCATGATTCACAACGATCCAGAACGATGCTCCAGAGAGCTTGTCCGAGAGGCACTTCAACGAAATACTTGCGATAATCTGACGGTCGTGGTTGTCTGCTTCTCACCGGATCCGCCCCCTCGCATTGAGCTCTCAAGATCTAGAGTCCGCCGGAGTATTTCCTTGGAAGGTTTGCATATCCTAAAGGGTGCTTTAGACAGTGATGTCTGATTATAGAAGTTGTGTAACCTATAAAGAAAGGAGGCCTCTCGGCAATTTGGCCTCCTATGAGAAATAAATCATGTAGGCTAGTGTTTTTGTTTGATGAGGCTGTAGTTTAGTTGTGTACATCTGAGGTAAAATTATTTGACATTGTGTGAGACATCTGATTGTTGTGCCTTCAATTTTCAGATAATTCATTAGAGTTTGGATATTGTCCAGAGTTGGCTGTAGATTCATGCCCAATCTCTCAGGTCACGACTCTTTTGGCAGCTGAACTGTGATGTCAATGCTTCTTGGTAGCACACAACAAATAAAAGGAGACCCCATCTTCCCATCATTTTGCCTACTTTGCATCCATCATTTAACCTTTGCTGTCTTGGGAGTACAATGACAGCATATTTTGTCCTGGCACATAAATGGCCAACTAAAGCACAACTGGCCAGTTCATTCCATACTGTGATCAACTAACTGGCTTTTCTTTGGAGCCATTGAGATTTGAGCTTGATGTGTTAAATAATAGGCTTAGATTGGCCTAACCTGACTAATTTGGTATAGTTGTTTGTATGAAGACTAGTGCACTCATTCAGAGGAACTATATTATCTTGGATTATCTGGGTTAAACTACTCTGACCAGGCCTAAATGCACTTTAAGCTCTACTGCATTTGATGGATTAAACCTAAAATTGGTAGCTAAATCATTTGATGGATTTCACCTCAAAGCTTGCTTGTGAATGTGCCTAGATCAGTTGTTTTAGCTATGAAAGTGCAATGGGTAACCAGAGCCTTAAGGCACAACCTCTACCACAGTATAGCATCGAGTCTGCTGCACTTGTTCTTCCATAGCAGGATAGCTCTCTCTCTATATGACTTTGTGAACCATGTGGTACAGTGTAGGAATCTCCAATCATTCAGCAATGACCAAACTGACATAATATTTAATTTTCATAATTGTCCCTCTATATTTGTATTAAGTAAGTTAATGGACATAATTATTAATCTTCATCCTCTGGATCAAAGACAAAAAAAAAAAAGATACTTGATTTGGAGGAGATGAATATTGAGGGGGTAAATATGTTATCTCCTTTGATAACAAAAGCATGTCCTTGATAATGCCACAATTATCAACAGAGGACATGGGCAATTGCTTAACCATTAACAAACATAGATACATATATATTTATATTTGCAAAAGATAAATGATGGAATTAAAAGTGGGTCACATAAATACATATATATTTATGTTTGCAAAAGATAATAAATGATGAAATTAAAAGCCTGCTCTCTTAAGATGGGCCTTTCCTGAGTTCTCAGCCCGGCCCATTTTGGCATAACTGTCCAACCAAAAGTCTATTTATTTGTATTATTATTATTATAAGATGGGGGAAGTCGAATCAATCGGTGGAGAAGATGGGCGAAGCGGCCGAAGAGGGCGGCGGCAGAGGAGATGAAGGCATGGCCGCCCTCCTCAAGTGGGCGGCGCATATGGGCATGTCAGACTTGCCGTGGCCTCCTCCCACGCCTTCTATCTCCTCCCCCGTGGAGCCGTCTTCTTCTTCTTCTTATTGTCTGGGGCGTACCCTCTTCGTCTCCTACTTCTCTGAAGCCGGCGGGTGATCCTTCCAGCCTCTCCTCTTCTCTCTTCTATTTCTTAGCCTTCTTCTTCTGAGAATTGTCCTCCTTTGCCGTTGTTTCGTCTTGGTCTTCTTCAGGCGAGGACTGGCTGCCGCCCGTGACCTTGTGAAGGGGGAGTTGATACTAAGAGTTCCAAGGAAGGCTCTTTTTACGACTGACAGCGCGATGGCTGATGAAAAGTTTGCATCTTGCGTCAAGAGGCACCAGCATCGTCTCTCTCCCACTCAGGTCTTTCTAGTCTCTCATTGATTGTCTTTTGCTGATTAAGATATGCTCAGATTTTAATTTCCGTGGTTATCGTTGAATGTGACATCTATGATATGTCTACTATTGCGCGGTTTAAACAAAATACCGAAGATTTAGCTTCGGGATTATGATGGGCTTATTGAGGTATTGGTCTATGATTCTCTGTCCAAAGAGATAAAACCTGAAATCTGATAACAAGTACTTTGTGGAGAGTCGTGAGTTGAGCTGCTGGTTGGGAGACTAGAAATCATGGTTTTTCTGAGAATTACAATTCTTAAATTCTAAGAGAAATCAGAATGTCGCAATTAAGGAAGCACAAACACAAAATATGGCCAATAAGATAATATAAAATATAAGTCTACTTTGTGGGACTTTCCAATTAAGGAAGACAATTGTTGAGTTCATCATGCATCAGAATTTTAAATCTGAATATTAGTTACATTGCTATTTCTAATCATGCACAAGATCTAGAATTTAAAAGTAAACTTCATGCAAGTAGTTCATTGTGAAAAACTGTTTACCTTTCATTCTTTTAAATCCTCAGTGCACTTGGAAAGCAGGGATATTATTGTTGTAGTTGGTTTTTGGTAAGTATGTAGGCTTTGAAGTATCTGTTAAACCCTTGTTGGTCTAAGTTAAAGATGAGAGTTCTAAAGAGAGTTTAAATAAATCATTTTCTAGATAACTAAAACATGCTAACCATCTTCATCCAAGTTTAATTCTATCTTTGAGAAAATTCAGACATTTTGCTTACTTCATATGGTTATAGTTCATTTCTTAGCCACTCTTACTGTCCTTCACAATGATTCTTTTTGTATATTTATGACAATTAATATGGTTTTGCAGATGCTAATTGTATGTCTATTGGCTGAGGTGGAAAAGGGAAGATGCTCTCGATGGTACCCTTACCTGGTGCAGTTGCCTCGCAGTTATAATACATTAGCAAATTTCACCAGATTTGAAGTTCAGTCTTTTCAAGTAATGTTTGGTAAAGATGTTTCCCAAGATACAGTTTGGTTCATTTTTTGTCAAGCTTTGCTTGCTTATGAGCCATTTGACAAAATCATTCATCTGATTACCAGGTTGAAGATGCTATTTGGGTTTCTGAGAAGGCTGTTGCCATGGCAAGGTCAGAGTGGAAAGAAGCTGTTGGCTTGATGCAGGACCTGGACCTGAAACCTCAACTCTTAACTTTTAGGTCATGGCTTTGGGCTTCAGCCACTGTGAGTTATGGATTACTGAATTTAGCGCTTTGTCGTTTTCTTTTGGTCACTTGAATATTCACTACCAGCCTTTTTTCTGTTTCTGCTTGAAGGTATCTTCTCGTACATTACATATACCATGGGATAGTGCTGGTTGCTTATGCCCTGTTGGTGATTTGTTTAATTATGCTGCACCTGATGAGGACAGTTCCCATGAAATGTCTGACAGTAAGCAAGAAACTACTAGCTTGAGTATTCAACTGCTCGAGCATAGCAGTCAGGAGGGGACGGTTCATGATGCTGACCAGCCTGATGGTTTCATGCAAAGGTTGACAGATGGTGGATACGAGGAAAATATGAATTCGTATTGCTTTTATGCAAGGAAAAGATATAAAAAGGGGGAGCAGGTGCGTTTCTAAAATATTTGAATCAGATATAGTGGTTCATTTTAGTGCCGAACATAATTTTTGAAACTGAGTCTTGCTTAGTTATATCTTACGTGGGAAACTATCTTTTAAACTTCGAAGTAGCAACTTAATTTGTATTTGAGGCAATGTACTTGCACAAAAAAAAAAGTTCAGTATAATAGTGTTCAGCAGCAACTAGTAAATGCTCACTATTGTGAGAACAGTCAATACCACAGCAACGTACTTTCTTATGGTCTAGAACTTCATATTTAGGAGCATTCATATAAAATACTCCTATAGGAACTGGTACTTGGGGCCTGTAAATGCTTTGAATATTCTACACCTTATGATTTCGATGCCTATGTTGACACAATATGTGCATTTGAGAGAACCTTAATTTAAATATGCTCTTAATGGAGTTGTGAATTTCAACTTTGGTTTGTCTTCTGTTGGTTTAGACTCAAATTTTACAGGGACTGCTCATAGCATCTAAGTTGACTGTTTTATCTGATACACTGTTCCTCACAGGTTCTTCTTGGTTATGGAACATACACTAACTTAGAACTCTTAGAGCATTATGGTTTTGTACTGAAAGAAAATCCAAACGACAAGGCATTCATCGAGTTAAAGGCTGAAGTATGCACATCAAGTAGTTGGCCCAGAGATTCTCTGTACATCCAACACGATGGAGTCCCTTCATTCGCCTTGCTATGTGCTCTACGCTTGTGGGCTACACCTATGAACCTTCGTAGAACAGTTGGGAATCGAGTTTATAGCGGATCTATAGTGTCAGTGGAGAACGAGGTGTTGATCATGAAATGGTTGGCTAAACACTGCACTGACATATTGGCGAGATTGAAGACCACAATAGGTGAAGACAGCATGTTATCGAGTACAGTCGACAAAATGATAGGCCATCCTTCCTGTCTGAGTTCAACAGTGGTGCTACCTCATATGAGTGAGCTCAGGGAGTTCTTCGAAGCTCATGGCCTCACAATGGAAGTTGCTGATTACATTGGAATGCCGGTAAAGGCCAGGAGATCCCTGGAGAGATGGAAATTGGCTATACAATGGAGATTGGCCTATAAGAAGATGTTGCAGGGTTGTGTTTTTTACTGTGAAAATTTAATTTGCTGCCTGTCTTCGCAGCATGTTTGAGAGACAAGAGTAGAGCATTTTGTGATGTAACAGTTATCCAACATCCATGTATGATCGATGAGCTGATATTTAGACCATTAAACTGTAATTTTTTTGACTGTGAAAAGTGTAATCTGTCTGTATCCACTGCATTGTTTAAGGGGCTTGTGATCTAAAAGATATCCTACAAGGAAAACAGGAGCTTGTGATCGAGCAGGACTTGGAACTCCACGAGTAGCACAGATGAGATGGGCTGCTGCGCTCGACCAACTACATTTCGGATTCCATTTCCGCTCCAACGAGGAGGCTTCTTCCTCCTCTCTATATGAACAATTTCTTTCTATGGAGCGAGGATGAAGATGATGCGGACAAGGGTGGGCGACAATCGGTGGACCACCGTCAGGTGCAAGTGGTGGCCGGCCATTCATGGATGCCTTGGTCTACAAGATGTCGTGAACCACGAAGGAGAGGTGGTAGTGTGGAAAGGTGAGAAAGATTTCATCAAGACAAAAGGTGATCTACCGCTGGTGATGCGGGCAAAAGGTCAGCAAACTACGTTACACGTGGCACGGTAGGTTAGATTCTCGAACCTTATCTAATATATTATAATTTATAATTTGATTAAATTTTGATTATAATTATTAATAAATAAATCGTTATTTGATTTTAATTTCTAACATTAAAGCTTTTCGTATAAAAATTGCATAATCATGATTTTTATTTTTACGATTGTTATTAGAATTATGTTTTTAAAATCAAATATCTTATATATATTTATTAGCATCCTTTGCTTTCAAAAATATATTATTTGATTTTGATTCACAATACTTAAATGATCTGATCTACCTGTATCTAGTCTATCTAGTTGCTTATTTATAGGGGATGTAAAGTTTATCATGTTTAATCGAAGAACTATCATCGATAGCTTGCTATCGACAACAATATTGTTAAGGGTGGTGGTGGCCTCTCGTGGTTGCCGGTCCAATTATGAACAACGGTTGCGTATAAGTATTACAAAGTGTCATGAGATATAATATAATATCAAAAGATACGTATCATAAATTATAAATTAGATATATCATTATTTAATTTTAAATATTAAAAGTTTTATATAACTAATATAATTATGATTTTTTATGTTTATATATATATAAAAAAAAAACAAGGCAGCCAACACATACGCTACATCCCGTCGTTTGTCGGATCTATAATTGCTGAGTAGCTTAGGTGGTCAGACGTTGTTCCTGAGACTCGATACCTCCATGTCCATCGACGCATCACAGCTCCTCGGATGTCGACGGAATTGTATCTTCTTCACCGCCTATGACATAGAAGGGTAAATACAATGATTTTGAATTCAGGCAGCATATAGGAAGTCTCATTAGATAGCATTATAGGTACATCTTCTATATAAGGAAGGTAAATTGTATCTACTTCTTTTTGTAGACACAATATTAGCTTTGAATCGAGTCGAAAATGATTTTGAATTCAGGCTCTTCGTGAACAGAGAACAAATTTTTATTAGGTTTCGTCACTGGTTTTGTTTGATGGCATGAAGCCAACTCATCATACTGTGCTAAACAAGAAATCCACTCGAATTCTTCTATAGAAGATGAGAAGCTCATCAATAGTTAATAAAATTATTGCGAGTGTAATGAAAATATTTGCAAACAGATTACTTATCAAATTGTGCAGATTTCCCCTTGTTACAGATCTTACTGGGATGCTATTAAGAACAAGACAGACATTGTATTTATTTCCAAATGCAAGAAAGCCACCAAATCCAAAGACATTTTCCTCTGTAATGCAACAACAAGGATTAGTGCTTTATAACATGGAATCTGGTCTCATTACAATCTAACCTTAAGGGGAGCTTCTTCCAAATTAAAGTCGGAGCAGGTTACAAAGCCTTGTTAAACGTGATCTCTTCTTGACAAGAAAAATTTATATCGCCTCATCAAAATCTCCACACTTTTAAACAAATATAGGAATTGAATAAATCAGAACTTCAGACGGCGCGATAATCCAAAAAGAGATGCAACTTTTGTATAAGGATCTCACGTGTACCATATATAGGTTTTCCCTCGGCAATCCAATTCTTCTCCAAGACCGAAGCTTTTGCATTTGCCTGCATATCCGTTTGGAAAGCAGACACGACTTGGTATATGGATGTTTTGAGAACATCGGCCATGGCATAAGCTTTAGCATGCAGTGCGGCGCCTCTTTTTTTGGTAGTCAGTGCAGGCACAGCATCTCTTTTCCCAGTGTTGACTGTCGCCCATCTGATGTTGGCAGGGCCCAGCATGTGTGCCAGCTGTACGCTGGTTTTTTTACCCACACAAGCCTCCACGGCCAGCAGGCAAGATAACAATGTCGAAACGACTGCTTTGTTGCAGCCAGTAAGTTGAGCAACTCCATACCTATCCTCTAGGTGAGACCGTGCCGTCAATGCTCCCAGAGCTCTTGCACACCACGAGCAAATCTACACAATATAATAAAAGTATTAATAGATAAAAATTGAAGGCAAGAAACATGTTATCCTTTAGGTTGATAATCAATGGATCAAATGAACCAAATCTCGTTGGTAACAGAAGGATAACATAGGAATAGCTACAACAGCTCGAAGAACAGGAAAAGAAAAAGAAAAAAGGTAACTGATAGTATTTCAAGAAATGGTAACCGATAGCTACGACTGCTCAAAGAAAATCAAATCAACAATCGCAGAACAAAAGATATCCTTGGGAAGACTAAATCAGATGTGGCCTCCCAAATCCTGATGTGTGAAAAACAGACAGGCAACAGGTATATTGGAAGAAACTGATACCCTGAAATTTTTTGAGCGATCATCCAGTACCAAATAGACTAACATGAAATAAGGATGTCAATCCCAGGATAGAGTACACACCAAAAGGTTTCTTTCCTATTTTCTTGCCTACAAGCTTCTTGACATAGACTTGTTACAAATACATATTACAGTTATAATATTTAAAATTCTGCCAGTGTCAACAACTATGACCCTAATATTTCAAAATTCTGCCATCAAGTATTCAATGTGACACATCAAAGATACGCTTGTTGATATAAAAAAGGCGAACATAGTCACCCAGGTCTCAGAGGAGCCTCCTTACCCTTGTAACAACACATCCTCATCAATCCATTTTTAATATTCCAGATGAAGTCTACCAGCTAATATGCATGTTACTCTTGCTTTAGCATAACTACTGATTCAAATCTAAAGATAATTATAAAATAATGGAGAACATATATGTACGAAGATGATCGTCAGTATCAGTAATCAATATGACTATTTGCCCACTCATAGTTGAAACACAAATAAATTTATATTCTTTAAAGGATGTGAACATAAAAGCCTTGAAATCTTTCTTATAGCGAGATTTTTGTCAAACACACATTGTTCAGTTTTTGAACAACACCAATTACCCCCTTCCCATAAACAAATTAGCTTTTTAACATTAACATATCAATTATAGATAAAAGATGCAATATCACTGTCATGTCCAGCTTTGCTACCACACCTGACATCACCACCATTGAACACAAAGTGGCCACTGATATGGATATCACTATTGCTACAATCAATCATCACAAACACTACCAATATCCCACACCTTCCACATCACAGCTGCCAACAGCCACTGCCACAAAGCTATTGCCTTTGATTACTTGTTGGTGCCACAAGCTATGAGAAGAGGTTCTTTTATTTTCTAAATTCTTGTCCACATTTTCATAGGTGCACAGGTAATAGGCACATGTTGGTCTAGGAAACAGCCTAAGGTGCTTAGCCAAGAGTGTGGACAATCACACATGACATCAATGGTTTCCACACAAGTGCATGGTCAATCACCCATAAAACCAATTTTCTTCACATTTTACTTCTTTGTTTCTAGAGCTGTGACTGCTAAATTTAGCCTGATCAAGCACTAAATCCATAGCCCAGTCAACATCAGATGAATCAAGTTTCAAATTAATGTTGAATAAATATCTACAAGAATTTATCTTTAATCTGTTAGTGTCTTTCTGCTTCTTGTTCCATGGTGCTTGTTTTTTATTCAATGACATATGGTAACATATACTATATTGTTTCCTCAATTACCTACCAAATGACAAAAATAAATCCTTGATTCATCATTGATGGCAAAATACATTAAACATTATTAAGTCAGATATAATCATTTGAGAGGTCAACAAAAATATTTCATGAAAGAGGATTTGTCTAACATACATCAATCTTAGAACAAGGTATGGGATGTTCACAGAAATGAAAAATATTTCCATAATCCTAATTGAACATAGTACCTGAAAATCATTGAGAGCTTCATGAAGCCTGGAGTCCACTTGAATGTCTACAGGTGAATTTAATTGCTTGGACAAGAGATCAGATCTATTTATGGAAAAACCTTCAAGACCTTCAGCAAGCCCAGAGGCAAGCTGCTCGATAGGCCTTAAGCATACATTTATAGTTCTTTGGTAAGTTTCACCAGTTTCTTCAAAAAAGGCACCTCGACGCCAAGGTTCTGCATTGCTCTCTGTAACAAGACACAGATCAAGATATGCAAGATACTGTATGAGGGATCTTGGACTGCTTTGTTCCAAAGTCTCTAGCAGAATTTCACTAGGATTTGTTTCTGCTGCAGCTGATCCCTGTGGTGGTGCAAAAATGCACCTCCTAGTATGTACATCCTAGATAAATATAGAGAAGTAGATAGTGAATAAAAGCAACATGATTGGCAATATAAAAGATTGGTTGGAAGAGAAGCATGTGGAAAAGGGTTACAAATATCCCCGAGCCCCAGTATGAAGGAGAAAATGTCATAAAATAATAAAAATTCTATAATAAATTAGAAACTAAGTTAACCAACCTGAAGTAGATGATGGCTTAGTTCCCAGCAGATAGAAACAGTAAGTATCCCAATGTAAAATCTGAGCTGTTGAATAATGAATTTTCCAATCATATTCTTGTTCTTTAATTGATCAGGCAAAAAGAAAATTAGTATGACCGAAGAGACATAAGCCTGAACTGATAACTTAAGAGCTCTTTTCAATGATTGAGACAGACCAATCTTGAAGCTGTAGAAAAAAGGACGCTGCAGATCAAACCAATCAAGAAAACAACAGATTCTGTTAATGAAATTGATATAACATAATCACTATAAGAAGAAAACAATATGGAACTCACCTTATAAGATATTCAATGGAAATGGTAAATGACAATACATTAAAGAATTATATTTTTACATAAGACACTTATAATTTGGCAAAAAATTATACACTTACAATTTGGCAAAAAATTATGTGAAGGCCTGTTTAACTTTTTTATATGTTTGAATTAGTTATCTTGCTGTCCTTTGTCAGCCTTCTTGCAGTTTCAACTTAAAAGTTTAAACACAGAGCTAAAAGGATAAAGCTATGCATGCATTGTTAAGCAAGACATATCATTTGCCAAAAAAAATATTATTGAATAAAATAAGCACCAAATCTGTTCAGGTCTAATTTCTACACAAGTCTGTCACTTGCATATATGCAAGCAGAATCTACTTTAGGACAAAGATTGTTGCCACTCAGTTGTGCTACTCACATGCAAAAAACTAAGTACATACTTGAGCCATAGTGGAATCAATCTGCAAACTTCAAACCAGACAAAAAGACTATGAAAAAATTATGAGGCCATTAACAAAAACTTTAGCCTCGTCGTCATTGATACATCCATCACCCACACCTCCAAGTGCAAAGACTCCCAAATCATGCAAAGTTCACATCTGCTCCCCAAAAAATAATTGTGCTATATAGATAATGTATATGCACTCATTTAGAAACTCGAATCTTTCTTTTCCTGCAATGGGTATCACTTTCAAGTGACTAAGCATGGGGAAGAAAGATCAACTAGAGAACATAAGTAAACTCCAAGTAGACAACGCAGGCTAAATAATAAACTTGTCCTATCACTTGCCTGAATGATCGGAAATTTTAGGATCCACCTCCTCCTGTAAACATAATGGAGACCATAAACCAGCCCAAAAACCAACCCTCTCAACCCCACGCCAACCAGGCTAGCCCCGTCCACCACCTCAGCATTCCCGCACACGGCCACCACCGAGAGGAATCCCGCAACGCCACAAACCAACAGGAAAACACCGGAAGCGAGCGAGCGCCGAGCCCGGTGGGCGAAGTCGGCGGTGAAGGATGGACGGGAGAAGCCGCCGACGAGGGACTTGAGGGAAGCGCGTAGGGTGGCAGCGGCAAGGTCGGGGAGGGAGGCGGAGGGGTCGGGATGGGGAGTGGAGAGAAGAAAGATGGCGAGGGAGAGGAGGAGGAGGGAGAGGTGGAAGGCGAGGAAAGCAAAGAGAGTCGCGGCGACGGAGGAGGAGGAGCCGCGGCCGAGGCGGTGGAGGAGGAGGGAGGAGGAGAGGTGGATGACGGCAGACGTGATGGACTGCCAGATCAGAAACCCGAGCCACCGGTTCTTGACGACTTCGTCGGGAAGCGACGAAGAAGACATGACGAAGCGAAGGAGACGAGAGGGGGAAAGAGGGAAAGGGTTTTGCGTTGCTCCAAAATCGCAGCAGCAAAACAGGCGGCTTTTCCTCGAACACATTATGGGCTTTATAGAAATCGAGACAAGATGGGCTCGTGGGCTTCGAAGCAATAGGTGGAAATTATAACGGGTCGGATGTCTTATAATTATATCCGAACCCGATAAACGACCAAGATATCTATTTTGTCATCAAATCCGTTTTGAAGCTCATTAAAAGGTATCGACATTCAACACCCTATTCAAGCGGATCTACATGTACTCGAGAAAACACGATCCGCTATATCTTGAATTCCATATGATCCATTAGCTCGTTAAGTCGATGTCGACCTTCAAACTGGGCGGATTAATATATTGAAATATAATATTAAATTTAATTAGGATTAGATAGCTAAAATTGATTTTTTTGAATTAAAAATTCACCCCAAAACCGGATGAAAGTATGACGTGGTTCGATTTTATTGGCCAATTGGAGTTGGCATGGCCCCCGCCAAAATTGCCACGTACGTTGATACGTCGCGTATCCAATCACCGTCAAGCACGTAGGAAGGTCTCCCCCCCTTATCAAGGGTCGGATCCTACCGTTAGATCTGACGTCGAGGCGCCTCCTTTTGTTCCAAACCCGTACCCGCGAGTCACCACATCGTCTCTGCGCCGCCGCCATGGCGACTCGCCGGAAGCCGACCTCGAAACCCTCGGAGATCCCGCCGGAGGTGCGGTCCGTGGAGGCGAAGCCCCCGCATCCGGATCCTCTGGCCCCTCCGAAGTTTGGTCTCATCATCCCCGTCGCTGCCGCGTTCTTCCTCTCTTTCTTCTACCTCGTATTCGTCAAGTACCAGATCGAGCCCGACCTGCGCCGATCCATCGCTATCAACGCCGCTATGAGCTTCGGCGCCTTCGTCTTGGCCGTCCGGATGATCCCCGTGGCGGCACGCTACGTGTTGCGACGGAATCTCTACGGGTTCGACATCAACAAGAAGGGCACACCGCAGGGCACCATCAAAGTGTCGGTTTTTTCCTTCTCTAACCCTGTCGATTTCTTAAACTCCTACGTAGATTTTGGTTTGCTTCTGTGAAACCGGATGTTACGTGCTAATCTATGGTGTATATATCACGCTGGTTTCCTATCTATTAATGGTTTAATTTGTTATTTCCAAGAGTTAATTGCATAAAATTAATTAATTATCTCGCAAATATATGAACATTTGTACTCAACTTTATCTTGTTTTCATTACTACTAAGATGAGGTTTGTATATTCCACGGATGGTTTGAGTAAAACTTGCAAAATCTTTTTAACGATGTGACTGTTAGGTTGATAATGTACGTTCATTTACAAACAAATTTCCACTTTCCTTATATTCCTGAATGTTTGATTAAAGAAGAATCTAAAAATGGAGAATGATTAAACTTGATCTGCAAACTCTGTGGGATGTCACCAAGAAACCACACCTGAGCATAACGTGACATGAGCTATGCCATCAATTTTCATGTCTTTTGAAATTTAAAAGTACAAATTTTCTTTTCCAAGTTGATGTCGTTTTCAAACCAGGAGGATAGTATGACCTTGCTAAATTTTTGATTTGGATGCTACTATTTGCTCCAACTGCACTTTGATCCTTTCTAATAATTAGTTTACTAATAGTTGCACATGGAGTTTTCTGCATACAACTTAGAAAGACAAAGGTTTTTCAACTTCTAGAGACCAACAAACAGAATTGTCCCATGTTGGGATAAAAATTGGATATAACTCTATACCTAGTGATTTCTTGTCTAGTTTTGACAAATTTATGTGGGGAGCTATATCAATCCATGTATGAAGTGTCCATGTGCAGGTTTAATGCATTGATTCTTATGTATTGAGGTTGGTCATGTTATTCATATTTGTGGCTGATATGTACATAACAAGAAATTTGAATTTTACATGTTACATGGCAAGGCATGAGCCAATTAATTAACTATTTGTTATGGTAACTGATTTATTTACCAGTTAGGTTTGTGATCATAGCTATCCAATATATGTATCGAACCTGCTTATAAATTTTACATTTGCAACTTACAGAAGATAAACCATGATGGACTTACTATATATATCGACGACATGACAATCATTTTATGAGTTTGGCTCATCCAACTCATATTGCTTTTGTAAAAATCTGGCTTTTCTTGTGCTTTTTTGTTCAAATTATCTTTAGTTTTTACTCGTACTTTGTCAGTTTCTTGTTTCTAGAATCAGAAATAGCCAGAATAGTGGGAAGTCACTTTTTTTATCACTACAAGTGTTATTTTGTGATTCAGCACTGCTGACGTTATTATTACCTTTTGTCGTCTTTATTTAATTTTAAGTTATAATTTGAAAATGGCTACATGGCAATTTTGGTTGATTGGAAATCAGTTAATATTTGCTTCTTTTGTCAAACACATGCATAAAATATATGTGGTGTCTATATATTTGTTTGTGTACTTCAGAACTAATTAATTTTGCCAGTAAAATATTAAATCTCTCATAGATTTAACATCATTGCTAATGTTAGCTGAATTATCAGCATTGAACATTGTACAGAATATGTAACCCTGAGCTTGTAGGGAGAAAATTAATGTTTTTTCTTACATGAGCTTATCGATGCAGCATCTGAAATTAATATGGACATGTATATTTTTTTGATATTTTTGGATTTGTAGGTTAGCTTATTGTTCTTGTTCCCTTGTTTTATGCATAAAAAATCTAATAATTTCTTGTATGGACTTCCAGGCCTGAATCTTTGGGTATTGTTATTGGAATTGTCTACTTGGTTATTGCTATACTGTTTCAGCATTTCAACTTCACTTCAGACTCCAATGTATGTATATTTGTTCGATGAAACCTACAATCATAGTTTCTGTTGGACAGCATTGCTTCTTAGATATGAATTATGTACCTTCGATTTAATTTTTCCTTGAAATGAATTTTCTGGACAAGTACAAAAAAATTATCAACAAAATTAATCTGGAGACTCTTTGTTATATTTCTGTTGTGATATGAAATTACTGTGTTATAACTGCTGTTGGCACATACATTCATAGTTATAAAATAGTTTTATCAGAAGCATAGGAAAAACTATAATTTTGAAACTATGTCATCTTTAACCTAAATTTTGGTATGAAAAAAGGATGTTCTTTGCCACCATTGACATGGATTACCTAACAATACTAAAGCTCAAGCATGAAAAGTAGGGCCTGATTAAGTGTGCATGCAAGATATTTAATTGGACTTAATAAAAAGGTTTGAAGAAATCAAATAAATGATCTAATGGATTTAATATTAGGAATTAGTATACAGAAAGTAAATAAAAGACAGTTCAAATTGGATATCTTGAAATCCGAAGATGAAGGACAAAAGGTTCTAATGCTTCCAATATACTGCAGCCTCATTCTGTTCTTTAAGGGGAGATTGCCTTCAATTTTGTTAGCTTTGCTGTTGAGAAATACCAGATTTCTACAAGCAGTTGAGACAAAAGGAGTTTGTTCAATGTGGTGTGTTGAGTTTTTCAGGGTGTTAGATAGGAAATGAGTAGTAGATGTGTAAGTAGGTTTGGGGAAAAATGTGGTCAGATAGTATGATTGCTTGTGAGCCTGCTTAGGTTCGCATAGTGAATTATAATCATATACCAGGGCATAGCAGTAACTTACAGTTAATGTTGCACTATGCTTACTTTATCCGTCCATGCCAGGTCTTTGTTGCACTTGGACGAGTGGTACATCTAATTCTCATTACATGTCACCTTATCAGCTTCTTAATGATAGAGATCAAGCGTGGACATTTATAGTTGCACTCCTATATTTCATCATTCTATTGTATTTGATATTGGAAGGATTGGTCAAGTGGAAGTCAAATAATTTGGAACTTTAAATGTTTCCCCATCCTATCTAGAGGTGCTAAAAAATTTCAAGGTGTTCATGTGACCTTCATATTCTGATTCAGTGATGATGTTTTGGTGTGTTATGCCAAATATGATCTGTCAGCCATTTGGAAATGTTTAGTGCATATTTTGATGTGGACAACTCTAGTTCAGATGATACTGGTGCTCAAGTCAAACTTTGATTATTATGTGACAATCTAGTTTTCATCCTCATAGGAGAAGCTATCTTATTGCAAGTCTTTCAAAAAATGCTTAATATTTTATATTCTTGACAAATAGTGAATTTGAGTATATTCTTTGCTGAGCTCCCTTTATTCAATGCAGTGGCTCGTCGAATACAATGCGGCACTAGCATCTATCTGCTTCATGATTCTTCTAGGATTTGTGGATGATGTTCTTGATGTCCCATGGAGAGCGTATGATCTACTTGAGCAGCATAATCATAGTTTATTCATCCAGGATTTGCATATTTTATTTTAACTGTCCTTATCCACTTGACTGTCTCTTTTGTGCTTGGAAGTTGGTTGTCTCTGCAATTCTCAAGTTTTTATATGCAAGCTAATTTTCTTTTCTCTTCTGAAGAGCAGAAAATTGGTGCTGCCCTCATTTGCAGCTCTTCCCTTGTTGATGGCATATGCTGGGCATACTACCATCATCATACCGAAGCCCCTCATTCAATATGTTGGAGCAGCTGTTCTGGATTTAGGTACTCTTCTAGTTGGATAGTCAAGATGTTTTAGAGCTTTACTTCACCATCTGTCACTTTGGTGTTCAATAAATATTACTTTTGCATTCATAAGGCATATTATTAATTTTCTATGGAATTGATAATTGAAGCTTTTAATATTAATTATTTGCATGTGCCAGTTGTCCATATAATTTTTTAGTGACTGAAATGCCAAGAAGCCATTAAGGAAATATTGGAACTAAACTATCATGCCATCAAGTTTTAGTGTGAATGTTTGTTGAGGCTTGAATCCAGAGGTCATTTCTGTGTCAAATCCAAAACGATTCAAATATGATTTCAACAGTTTTCATATTTCCTCGTTGCATTTGATTATAGATAAAGAAAAGGATGTTGGGAAAGAAAAGGTGCATGCAACGTGCTTGTAGATAAGGACTAATGAACACTTTCCTTTCCTAAAGCAGTTTTCTTTTTTGAGGGAGTTTCCCTAATAAAATGACTTAAAATAATTTGAAAGGAAACTTCACTAATTACACAAACCATGTGCATGACACCTCAGTCATACACTTTAATTTCTCGAGGATTTTGAATATTTGTATTACTTTATCAATAGAAATAATAGGCAGAAATATACTAAGTTTATCATGAGTAGGTTACAGATTTCTTTTTCGCAAATTGATTCCTAATATTCTAGTACTAAAAGGGGGCATACTCAGTACACGAGGATCCCGCTAATATGCGATCTAGGGAGGGTTAATGTACACGGCCTTACCCTTAAAAATTTAAAGAGACTATTTCCGTAACTCGAACCCTGGTCTCCTAGGTCACAAATGAGCAACCTTACCGACGTACTGAGGCCCACCCTCTCCTAGTATTTTAGTACTAAATTTCACAAATTAGATGCCAAATGTACTAATTTTAGCTTAACAGATTTAAGCTAAAATTACATGGACAAATTTGATTCTAGAAATGAATATTAAGTCCAATTCCTACTTTTAACTTGTTATATCATAGGCCCCAACCTAGCCTGCAGGAATTACTCTACCTCAAATCATGACACAGTATCAAGCAAAGTGACATATGAAGAACATGCAGAAGTCTGAGTATCCACTTCATGTTCCTTTATGTTGGAATGAAGTTGTAAGGATGCAAGTTTTGAATATTCTTAATTAGTCTAATATATACATGGTTCATGCTGTCCTGATAAGAAATTAGTTGATTCCAATAATTTATTTTCTAATATTGAACTTTTTGTAGGAAGATATTCTTGCATAATAGCTATCATTTCAAAGTGGTCGTAGAGACTCTGTTTGCTGGATAATATGTAGCTACCACTTCTGTGTGGCAATTTTCTAAATTATGTTTGAGTTATGACAACGTTTTGCTCCTTTTTTCTCCCTCTGTGTGTGTGGGTGGGAAGCACAGGTTGGATATACAAGCTATATATGGGTATGTTAGCTGTTTTTTGCACAAACTCCATCAACATACATGCTGGTTTAAATGGCCTGGAAGCTGGGCAGACTGTTGTAATTTCAGCCGCGGTTAGTAGACCATATGAAACATCACATATCTTCTTCCCTTTTATTTCTGAGATGGAACTAATGGTGAATTGTTCAATTTCAGGTCTTAATTCATAATGTCATGCAAATTGGTGCATCTACAGACCCGGAATATCAGCAGGCTCATGCATTTTCTATTTACCTTGTCCTTCCTCTGCTGACCACTTCATTGGCTTTACTTTCATACAATTGGTAGTTATAATTACTTTATTATGGGTCTCATGTTTGTGTGTTTACATAGCTTGGTATCCACAAAGTTCATCTGAATAAAGCTGGATGCCACTGGTTCAATTTAAATGCCAGGTATCCTTCATCAGTCTTTGTTGGCGATACCTACACTTACTTTGCTGGAATGGCTTTGGCTGTAGTTGGAATTCTTGGCCATTACAGGTAACCTGCAATCTTTCTTATTTGCTTTCAGTTTTATCATGTAGCTAGGATAGGTAAGTTCTAGTTAATCCTCTATAGACCATTGCTCTTTGAACAGTAGAATATGTTAATGGTTCCTGTAAAGTGGATGAAGGATATCTGCAAAAAGAAACTTTAAAACTAAATGGTCACCATCATAACTGAATCTAGTTGTACTCTAAAATAAATCTACCTTATGTTTATGGTCCTTGATGATTGTTCGGAGCATGACAAAGGAAATAGGCAATATTTCTATGATAACACAATTTTTTTTTTTTCTTTTGTGGCAAAACCTCTTGATCAAGGTTTCAGATCCTATTGGACAAGTATCTACATTGGTCTGACGGCTGGTGCGAGACCATATAATTCAGTATGTTCAGTATATTCATTTTTTTTATGATTGGACTATATATGTTAGTACACTGTTAGGTATATCAGTACCATACTAGTTTGACAAGATGTCAAAACCATGCTCTTGGTGATTTTCTGTGCTTCTATGCCCTAATTGGACCAATTAAGAGGTGACCAATGGTCATCTATGCATTTCTTGAACTGTTTCCTGTTTATCCATCTGTTTATTCTACTTAGTTAATTTGCTTGTTTCTGCTGGTTCTGTAAAGTTCACGGCTTGTTCCTGGTATACTGTATATGATAATAAGCATATGTTTGCATTGTGTCTATTGTGTATGCATAATTGCACATGATTATGAAGTTGTATATACATCTAATTCATGCTAACCTAAAGTTTCTTCTGTCTACAGCGAGACACTTCTGCTTTTCTTCTTGCCTCAAGTTTTGAATTTTCTTTATTCATGTCCTCAGGTTTGTTCGAGCTCTTAATATTCATTTGCACTCTGAACTATGTTAATTTCTATTATATGATTATCTCATTATTTATTATCTCTTATTTTCCTGTAGCTTTTTAAGATAATTCCTTGTCCACGGCATCGCCTACCAAGGTATCTTGACTGTATTCTTTCCCGCAAAAACTTTTAAGTATTTAATTTTAACTAGTTTCCTGACATTGGCAGTCTTCTGTTCTTTTAGATTTGATCCTCAAACAGGACTCTTGACGGGGACAAAGGATGGGACCCTTGTAAACCTATTCCTGAGATTGTTTGGTCGGTGCACAGAACAGATGCTATGCATCAGGCTTCTCATTTTCCAGGTTACACGATTCATACAACAATTTGTGCTTTTTTACATGTGCAGTTGAAATAATATTGGCTCCAGTGTCCTTCAGTTGAGTGCCTGACATCTGATTTACAATAAATTAGTATTTAACTAGGGCATCTTATATTGGTTAGACTCCTAACTTGTGATTATGCCATAATTAAAACTCTAGTCCCCAGTCACCCAACAACTGTTTCCTGTGTTCCAACTTCTCAAACACTATATACTGATCACCGCACAACTCAAAGGCCATTTTGTAGATGTTATTTTTGTGTGGAATGCTGATGGTTAAGAACAGCCTTTCAGATGCTTGTACGCTTATGAATGCAATGTGTATATTTTTCCTTTACAGGCTTTATCATGCCTCTTGTGTTTCTGGCTGAGGCATGTTCTTGCTGGATGGTACAAGTGAGACGTGAAGAGCAAACAAGGTAAGCTTGCAGTTCGAACTACATTCAAACTACATTTTGGCTGATCGATCCCTGACAATACTTGTACTCTTTATTAGAAACTCAACTTTGTGGATTCTTGTTGATTTCATTGGATGTAAAATTTTCCAATTTGCGTGGACGAGACTGTTATTAGCGATACTGTATTTAATCTGAAGAGTTTAATTACCGCGTCCATGGTTTAAGCTTTTCGGTCTTGAAAGATAATACTCAACTCCTTATGGTCAAATGCAACGTCGTTATAGATTAGAAGTGCATATGCCTGGAAATGCTAATCTTCGATTATTTGTTGATATCAGAATGCTTTGATCGGTCAATGCTTCTTTCTGCATGTCAGTTTGCGACATTGATGCTTCTAATGTGAAAGATGCATGACAACAATTTGGATCACTTCACATATTTCATAGACCAAAAGATTTGACTTCTCCAAATATGTTTGGACCAGGAAATATCATTCAAGATCAAGCAGATGTCAAAGAGCAGTACATCGGAATTGCTCAGCTTATGCCCATCTATAACTAAAGAAGAAGAAGAAGAGAATAAAACAAGACCATGCCCAGCAACAGAGTAGCAGTACCCAATGCCGAGAAGAAGCTCAAGAAGCCTATTCTCGTCAGTGTCTTAAATCGATCATTTCCGAAACCAGTCGAGTTTTACAGCAATCGAGGCCAGCAAAGGCAAGCAGAAGTATTCATTCATTCATTCATTTCCTTCCAGACGAACAATAGTTTGAGACGAAGAACGAGTAGCTAATTAGGTAACTGTCTGTCACAGTGACGTGAAACCCGTCATCTCTCTCTTGCAGTGATCACCATATGCCTGTCCGAGGAGTGTAGCTCTCTTTAGAACGAGAAGCTTGGAAGTATATGATGGTGGATACGGAAGAAATCATTAAAAGCTACGGAAGGATGAGGAGCTACCGGGGAGGCCGGATGGCCCGGCACTGCTCCGAGATCTTGCGCCGCAGGTAGTAGCCGTGGTGGGGGTGGTCCGGCGAGATGAACCCCCAGCGGCGTTGGTTCTTGGTGATCTTGAGCAGCCTCAGGAGGATGGTCTCGGTCAGGTCGCCGTCCCTGGCCACGAACCGAGCCACCTTGTCGATCCGCTCCTTCTCGTCCTGCGCCAGCCGCGGGCAGTCCTCCACCCCCCGCCGGATCATCTGCCGCTCCATCGCCGCCTCCTCCGCGTTCCCCATCCGCAGCTCTCTCATCTCTCCTCTTCTCCCCTCTCTCGATCCAACCGAGGAGGAGGAGGAGGTCTTAAGAAGCGGGCAAAGAGGAGCCGTCTCCGACGCTGAGACCGATTCTTAAAGCGTTCCGAGGCTTTTGCATGGCACTGGCACGACCCTCAAAGTCCAGCTGTCCCATGCATCTACCCTCCATTCGAGTTTACGTGGACGTAATCGAATGCAACTTCTTTTGCAGGTACTCTCTCTCTCTCTCGTATCTCTATTTATTATTACTCTTTATCTCTGTTCTCGTAAGCTCAGAAACGATGGCCACTCGAGAGGAATAGCAATGGAGATTGGTGAGACCCTACACCAGGGAGTAGACGAGCTACCTATCCGAGGGTGAAGGAAGGGGGGTGAACTGCCGCCGCTCTCGCCGCTGCTGCTTGCGGTGGAGGAGGAATGGAACCCCAACTCTTCCGCCTTCGAAGGTCAAATTAAACCGCGGATTCGGGAATTAAAATCAACGAACCGGCCGGACCGAGCCGACGTTTCATCATCCTGTGTAGGGGCGGATGCGGAACAGCGACTTCCACCGATCACAATCCAGAGTTATAGTTCATCCTAATCCGTCACTCCATAGAGCATGTCAACTTTGTGATTCGTGCGCGCTTGATTGCTCGCCTGTGAAACGGCTCTGAGTTTTTGTTTTTAGAAACAAGCAACACAAAACAAAAAAATGAAATCAGGTGAGCAAAGGTAGAGAAGAAGCTTGTAAGCTCTGTAAACAACATGAATAAAAGACATGATGAAAGATCATATCACCAAGGATGATTTCTTCAGAACAAAATAAGAACCAGCAGCAGTGCAAGGATCAAATAACTTCATCAGTGAATAGTGATACAACTCGGTCTCTTCCTTTAAATGTACATTTAATACAACACTACAAAGAGCAATTTATTCTCTCTACCACTAGAACTTGTCATTACAAAATGCTCCCGAGGAAAAGGACATGGTAGCAAAGCAAAAGAATCACTAAGCTACGAGCGCCTGATAGCGTTGACATGCGCCAAACTTCCCCTCTATCAAGCATATGCAAAGCAGGCAACCTCAACCAAAGTTCAAGTTCGAGATACAGTTTCGGGCGCAGAGATTATTATTGCATTGCGCTTGATTGGCCTGATTTTGGCATGAGATCTTTGAGAACTTTGCTTGAAAGGAATGTGGTACTCAGACGAGATGGCTTCAACCACCACTCTTGGATTTGCATGAGAATTACCAGCATCTCGGCTCGTCCCGAAAATTACTGTTGCCAGGTGCATGCGCCTTTCAAAAATAGAACAACAAATTGTGATCAAGATGGAGAAGGGAGAGAGGAATCCACATTTTGATAGGGTATTGTTACTAGTTAATGCAAAACTGAAGGTCAAAATGGCTCAATGCTATGTAAGTGGCATACAATTCACTTGTATATAGATATCATAAATGGCCATTTCAGAGTTGTTCACATACAATACTAAATAACTGCAAGTGCAAGATACTTTCCCTCAGAAAAATCCAAAATAACTCTCGAGTTATCTTCCTAAGTTTTCGCTGACTGCTACACATGATTCATTGAAACAATCACAACGGGTTGCTAGTTTGCCGTGAAAACTGATCTTGTACGAGTTTCTCTCTCTCATTATCTCTACTTGTTTCTTTTTTATACCTTCACAAAACAATTCCAGTTTAGCATTGTCCACCAATCTATACAAGTACTAAAACTGAGATTTGAATGGGAAAGTATCGGGATCCTTGAAGCCATTGTTCGAAAAAGCATCACAAGAACTAATTACAGTGACCGAAGATCACACAGATCATCAAAAATAAACTACAAACACTAATTACATTAATTACAGTCCAAAGATCGCCTCAGGTCAACCAAATAATAATTTAAATATCTAAACTGTAGAAGTATCTAATCTTAAGCAACCATGATAGCAAATAACTAGAATTTAAAAGATCGGAGAAAAAAAAATAACCAGCAAGTGGAACCATACCTGGCTGGTACCGGGCAATATGGAATGCATAAGATTCTCATTGACATGCACAGGCATTGGAGGCATCTGACTCATGATACCGGGCATTCCACTCATGCTGTTAAAAGAGAAAATACCAGGTTCATGAACTAACATTATAAAAACATGAAATCCACTTGCATGAGTCTCAGATTAAAGATTACAATTAGAATTCTTGAATGACAAATGTACCTATTCAAAATGGCTCTTAGGTTCTCATTTGAGTGATACAAGAGATCGATATTATTTTGTATCTGCAAACAAATAAAAAGACATGACCAACCAAGAGATATATTTCTACTTCTGTATGTAGATAGTAGCAAGAAGACGACACAAGCCAAAAGAATAGCACAACGAATACCTATTACTAGCAGTATTCCCTTGTACTTTACTGTTCATTAACATGTCTGTAGTAAATCAGAATATACAATGAAAGAGCCATATGACAGAACCAAATAATATTTTTCATGTTAACGATGTTAACTGTTGTTACAGATTAACTGAGTTTCCTTTTTCTCAGATTCATCATTATCCTTTAGGTATTGATTGCTGGGCTAATAAAGTAGCAAGAAATAATACAAAAGTCAAGACTACATCTCCGCTTCATTCCGGTGTAGATGGATTTGTAGTTACGAGAAATGATAGAAATGAACAGGAAAGGCCATAACACAAAGTCAATGAATAAACAGATCATGAAATTAGAAATATTTGTGTAGGCCAGTTCTGGAAAAGATAAGTCTGCAGTTGCTACTATACTTGCTGGATACTAGTATTTTCACAAACGATACATACCTCATGCCAGATTTATAGTGCTACAGTTCTGTGTCTCCTTGGTTGATAATTTTTCTAGACACATGCAACCTCATTCAATTAAAGAAGATAATTTTGCTGCAAGGAATTTGTAAAGTGCACATACAATCCACATTTTTTAGATCGAGAAAGAATTCCCGATTTCAGGGCATTCGGTCTGGAGGCAGAATAGTGACAGATGTTTAAAGAAAGATAAAGCACTGATGACAATGCACTGATCATTAATCCCTACAAGAATTAATTATTCTACTAGTTCTTCATGAAAGGTTTGTCCTATGATGAACAATGATAGCAATAAACTTCTTACTTGTGCTTGTTCAACAAATTATACTGTGTTGAACAGAGGAGCAAAGGACAAGCCGATGCAGAAAAATATATTCACGCATCCAAAAGGAAGTAAATAACAATTTTTTAGTGGCACATTTTATGAACTAGCTCAAAGAAGAACCTGATTCCAAATATTATATGAGAACAGACAATAAAATGGTAGCAGTCACTCCACTCTATACATCAACAGAGTTATAAGTCAATTTTTCCATCTAGAAGTTGCAAATGGCATGACCTGACTCCAAGCACTCTATGAGAACAAAATGTACCACAGCTCATAGCAAAAGAGAACCAAACTAGGTACCTCATTATTTTCAAGATTAATTGCAATCTGATGAAAAAGTTTGGCATTGTCATCCAGAAGTTGCTGTGTTCTGTTGTCAATCACAGGTGCTGTTGAAGAAACAGATTTAGAATTGAGATTAAAAAAATATATATATTAAAATTAACAAACTATGTACTAAAGAAGAAAGGTTAAGGATAATAAACTCGTGCAGCATTTTACCAACAGAACTGGCAATGCAAGCTACAGGATGAAGCTATCACCAAATGTTTTCTTTTCCATGATAACATGCAATGGAAACACATTATTCAAGGACCTAAATTACATTAAGAATTTTAACTAATCATGTTGACATCTTCTATAAAGAAAAGGTATCCATGATAATCTTAACAAAATCAAACTTTAAGCACAAGAAGCTACTCCTTCCTATGCTATCTTTAACAGCTTGTGTTTCTAGTTTAAAATTGTCACGTGATAAAACAATCATCCCATCTTTCTTTTAAAAAGCAAGTCAGAGCAATTCTGTAAATTCTTTAGTATTTTCCACATAATTGTCACTTATGCTGAGATTCTCAACAATAACAAGAACGAATGTGGCATGAACACTTCAGACAAGTTTAATCAGCAACTAAGGTTGACCTAAGTGTCTCAATGGCAGCACCTACCGACCTTCACATAAGAACTGAGTAATGTGGTTCCCATCATGCATTCTGAATGAATAGGCATCTGCAATCTCTGGTTGATTACAGTGTGCAGTAGCCATCGAGGAAGAACCTATCATCTTCTCCTGAACAAAATGTTATATGATAGTCATCAAAACCACAAAAAAAAATCCTGGAAGTTGGATCTTGCAATAAAACGAAATTACATTTCTAACATACAAGAGTTCCATTTACCTATTCTCCTTTGACCAAAATATACCATTGTTATTTCATTATGGTTTTATCGTGGATTAAAAGAAACAAGGTCCGCCATACTAAAGCGTACCGTCCATACCGGGCGGTATGTACCGGTCCGATAGGTTACCAGTCCGCGGACCGTCCAGTACTGCTATAGTGCTACAGTATTATAATGTAGTACTGCTACAGTGCTACAGTACTATACTCTAGCACTGTTACAGTATGAAAAAAGTATAAAGTTGTTCGGTACACCCTGATGTACCGCCCGATACATCAGTACCGTACCGTATCGAGCCCGGGTCGAAACGCCGATACGGCACGGTATGACGAACCTTGAAAAGAAAAACAAAAAAAAAAAGAACATGAAACAGTTTCGTATTTAGTCTGTTGAGTTTAAAGAGCCATATGATACACTATTACAAACAGACCATAAAGATCTTAGAATAATCTGATATTCTCATCTATTAAGGTTAGATCATTGAAGAATATGGTACTAATGTTAAGCATAGAATCATCAACATATTTGAATTCATTAGACTGGGGTAAAACTTGCCTTCATGTCTTTAATTTTCTTTCCAGCATAATAGTCTTCAGGCTTACGCCGTTTACCTTTCTCCTTCTTCTACAAATATGACAAAAATATTAGCATAATCAAAATTTTCTAAAACAGGTAAAAGCTTATTCTTAGATAATTTAGACAGTTGATAAAATCTACAAACCAAATATTCTACATACTGTTCAAAAAAGCAACAACATGTTATAAAGATGGAGAATTAAAACATAATGTTGAGAAAAAAAAGAACATAATGTTGAGGTATTTAATTGATGAACAATCAAAATAATTTTTATGAAGAAAACAAACCAAATAAGTTATGTTGTTTTTCATAACTGAAAGGTAGGAATGCAAGATATTGTCTATTCATGTTGTTTTTCATCAGTTAGATATCAAGATT